GGGCTCGGGGGTTACCTGAGGAGCCCGCGAGCGGGACGGGACGGGACGCAGCACCGCAGAGCAGCTGGGCCGGGCGGCACTTACCGTACCCGGTGGTGGGCAGGCCCAGGTGCTTCATACGGTTTTTGACGAGCTCGGACAGCTCCTGGCGCTCGGAGCGCCGGTACAGGCTCAGGCGCTGCTGGCTGATCCACTCGGCCGTCTTGCTGGAGTGCTTGTTGCCCTTCCTGCTGAGCCGCCGGGCCCACTGCATGCTCTTGCGCCGCAGCAGAGGGTGCTCCGACTGGTCGCTGGAGCACGAGTTCCTGTGGTGGCTCGTCTTGATCCCCCAGTGCTCCTTGACGTCCTTGGTGTCCTCGCAGTCCTCAACATTGATTGAGATCTGTGACTGGAAGCCCGGCAGGTCACGGGGGTGGGGGAGCCAAGAATGTCTTGGCCTGTGGCTGGTGGGGCGGGATCTGTCCCCCGTGGGACGGGATCCTTCCTCTGAGCCACCCCCCTCCCCCGGCACTTCACCTCCGTGCTGCCAAAACTACCTGGCTGGCAGATTTCAGAGAGTCATGGAATGGCTTGGGTTGGAAGAGATCTTAAAGATCATCCAGTTCCACCCCCTGCCACGGGCAGGGACACCTTCCATAGACCAGGTTGCTCCAAACCCCATCCAACCTGGACTTGGACACTTCCATGGGGAAGCGACATGGGGCAGCCACAGCTTCTCTGGGATAAGCACTGTCGAGTGGAGTTTAATGGGCACATGACATCCCTCCACAATTACCTCTGGGATATCTGCCCAAGACACAGCCATGCCCACATCTCCCCGTGTTTCCTCTTACAGCAGCAATTCTGCCACATCTCCGACCCAGCAATCCCACTGGTGAGCGGGAATTTATTAACAAAGCCCTTTCAGGTCTCTCAAAGGGGTGGGTTGCGTTTAATTAAATGTCAACTTTGAGCTCCCTGTCGCTGCTTCCTACAAAGCTGCGAACTGACGGTGTTTAAGAGGGATCCTGGCTCGCTTCCTTGCTCCTTATCCCAGTTAATTACACGTCAGGGCACTGAGGCCTTTTCCCAGAGCGCTGAGTGAGGCTCAGCCAGTGTTGCCGTGGGGACAGGCAGTGACAGCTGGCACGGGGCACGTGGTGGCTCTCAGTGGCCAGAGCTAGGACAGCACTTGCCCAGGGATCATCCCCTGGTTGGGGGGGGGAACCAGAAGGCAGCACTGACAGCAGGGCAGTGCCTGACACCACCCTCAGGACGCGAGCGGCACTCACCTGCGCTCTGATGTCGTGGGGCTGCAACCGGGGAGAAGGGAGGGAAAACAAAGAGTCAGCCTGGCAAAGGGACAGCCCTGCTGCGTCCCCCCTGCTCCCTGAGTGCCCGGTGGCACGGCAGAGCTGAGCCCAGAACATCCCTCCCTGCCCACACCACCCAGAGAGACGGGCACTGACACTGACCCAGCTTATCCAGGACATCACCCCCAAAACAGCCACGGGGCTGCTGATGAAGGGAAGGCAGAGCTTCCCCTCCCCTCATCCTCCCCCCACTGCTGAAACCAGCTCTGAGGGGCCTCATGGATCCCCCACCAGCAGCCCCTCCCTGGCACGTGCCACCACCGCGCTCCTACCTCGGAGGTGGCGAACATGTGAGACTCCGTCCTGTAAATGCCGATGGGAATCTCGGCGCTGGAGGAGCAGAGCTTCTGGAAGAGGCGGCCGTACGTCCGGATCCACAGGTCATCCTCGGTGATCTTCATCTGAGCAACAGGGGACGAACATGAACCACTCAGAGCCCGCTGAGGAGCACCTGGGGCTGCTCCTGAGCTTTCCCCCCGGCTCATCCACGACAATCCCAAAGGCGAGTCGCGCTCCACAAGAAGACCAGGAGCAATTTTTGGCCTCAGCTTTCGGAACAGGGACTGTGGTCCTTGGCAGCTCTTGGGCTTTTGGTAGCGCTGAGGTTCCCCACGATGGAGAGGAGCAGTGACTTGGCAGTGTTGCTCCTCCTGACTCCCCAGAACAGGGGAATTCCCCCCTCACCCACATGTGCAGGGTGATGGATCCCACCAGATCCACAAAGACCTGGCCCAGTGGTTTCAACCCAAAGGGGCTGGGCACTTACAGCACAGAGGTATCCAGAGCCTGGCGTGGTGTCGAGGCCCAGCAGCAACCGGGTGATGGTGATCATGTAATCCTTCACGAACGACTAGGGGAGAGACATTTGGGTGGGAACCCAGGGAAAAGGTTTGCTCAGTTATTCACTGGGAGATGCAGAGGGGTGGCCAGAGCTGCAGGGGTGCCTCACCCACAGAGCCCACCCGGCTCTCACCTGGTAGAGCAGCGTGTCCAACATGCTGATGCTGAAGACCCTCCCGGCTGCGAAGGGCAGCCGGAACATGAAGGCCAGGTTGGAGCCGTTCTCTCTCTCTCTCTGGAAAAGGAAAGAGAGATGAGAGCACAGGTTGCACAGAAACTAGAGGGCTTGTGGAAATGGGAGGACACCAGTGCAGTGTTTCCGGTGGGTGTGACAGGAGGGAACAAGGACAGCATCCTTGCACTGGGGAAAAGAGGGTTTTCCTCCCTGGAAATGTGAGACAGGACTGGGTTTTCTGGACATGGGAAGAGCACAGGACTTTGAGGAGCTCAAATGCAGTCACTGTCAGCAGTGATTTCCCAGGTCCCCATGCAGGGGACAACCTTCTCTTACCTTTTCTAGTTTGGAAAGGGCAAGAGAGTAACTGTCCTTTGCTCTGAACTGCATGAACCTCATGTTGGAGGGGTGGGTCAGCTCTGTGATAATGCTGAGGCTGGGGAAGAGCCTGCAATGGAAAGAGACCTGTTGTCTTGCAGCTCACTCGGAGGTGAGATCATCCTCTGCAGCTATAGCCTGAGGAGGACCAAACCCACCCCTGTGCCTGTTTGAGGACAGAAATAGCTGATTAGGAGCTGTTTCCTCAACCACAGATGTGTCCCACTACCCACAGTAACCTCCCCAGCCACCAACACCCTTCCTGGGCTCGTCCCCAGCAGCAATCAGCGGTCTCCCCTCACCTGAACATGGTCTGGACGTTGACAATGGTCTTTGCATCTGCCATGTAGTCCTCCTCGGCGCTCATGGTGCTCTCCTTGTCCACCACCACCAGGTTGTCGGCGTAGATGATGCCGCACTGCAGCAAGCTGTCCAGGCTGGGCAGTTCCCAAAGAGAAGAGCGCAGGGTGAGCCCTTGGGGAGGACACAGGGAAGCGGCACGCTGCGACACGCAGCGCTCCAGCCAGCCCAGCCTGCTCCCCCACCAGCTCTTCACCTGCTCCCATCTACCAGGAAAGGGGCTGACACCCCAAAAATCCAAGGGTGGGCTCAGCTCTACGGTGCCAACCCACGGGGTGACCCGAAAGTCTGGGCTGGGATAAATCCAGCAGCACCCCAAGTCAAGACAGCCACGCACGCAAACACCTACTTGTCGATGGTGCCCTCCATGTAGTAAACCATGGGGAAACAACAGATGGCTTCCAGAAAGTGGTGCTCAGGCCTGGAGGGAGAGCGACAGAGAGCGAGGCGGCTCAGCAAAGACAGACACAAAACCCAGGGTCAACATCAGCTGAGACACCCCCGGGGTGGCACCGCCGCTCCCCCACCCTCCCATCCCGCAGCACGAACGCAGGGAGGGCTCAGGGTGATGGAAAACATCCGTGGAAAAGTACTTGCTTGTTGTCCAGCAGCAGCACGATGGGGTTCAGCTCCTTGCGGGACCGATAGTAGGCCCGGAGGGGCACGATGAAATTGTAGAGCCCGTTCCCCGCCGTCTCTGCCGACACGATTATCAGCTTGTTCTTGAACCCGTAGGCTTTGGCATCCTCAAAGCTGTTGTGCTTGCAGCCCTGGGGGGTGGGAGGCAGCAGGGGGACTCAGCAGGTGGTTCTGGGGGGGCTGAACCTCCCCCAGGCAGCACCCACAGCCCCATCGTACCTTGTCCAGCCTCAGGCAGCAGAACGGGGCTTTCTCGGGCAAGAGGTGGCACAGAGTCGGGGAGCTCCCAATGTAGGGGGAGTTTGGGGGGTAGCCCTTCACATACCTGCAGCAGAGAGAAAAGCCAGCAGTGTGAGGGCACAGGGAGAGTTTCCATACATCCAAAATTCAGATGCTGGGAAAATAAAACCCTTTAACAGCAGCAGCCCAGGGTTCAAGCGCAACAGCGGCAAATGCTCCGCAAAAGCCTCCTGAAGCAGCTGGAAGTTTTCCCAAATATTTAGGAATGATTTTTTGCCCTGCAAAGGGCCATGAGATTGTAAAGGTGCAGGGCCAAAGCCCCACATTCCATGTTTCCAGCACGGGTGGAGAAGGCAGTAGACAGGACCACTGGAGGGAGACAGGGCAGGAGAGGAAGTGCTGAGCCAAATAAAGGAGCAAAAAACATCCTGGTCCATTTGTAGAGTTTGTTTTTTGGTGAACAGGTATTTTAAAAACCAACATTTGTACTTTTGATGGAACTAGAAGCAGAAATTTTCATTTAAAGAGCAGTTAAAAGTGGACATGAATTCAATACCAATTTGTGAGGGTTCGTGGATATTCAGTAACTCCCCCCGTGGCTGCGACACCATCCAGACAGGGAACCAGTAAAGGTAAGTCCCTCCCTGGCTGTCACAAACTAACAGACACTTTAAAAGCTGTGGTAAATACCTATTTTGTATTTTTTATTTATGTGCAATAGGGAACAGGACCCTCTCCACATCAGTGAGGTGAGAGGAGTGATGGAACAGCCTGCCCATCCCCAGCAGCCTCTGCCTTGGGGCAATTTGCTGATTCCCAGAGAATTCTCCAAAGCAGCCCACAAGGCTCACGGCCATGGGGACTGTCCATGGCACAGCTGTTCGTGTGGTCATGGAAAAACCAAAGGAAATGGAAAAATCCCTTGGGCACCACTGAGAGTACCACGGTCCCTGGAATCAACCCGAGAGAACCGGATCCAACCAGAACAAAGAGAATCCAACGGGAACAAAGAGGATCCAACGGGAACAAAGAGAATCCAACGAGAACAAAGAGGATCCAACCAGAACAAGCTGGCCAAGGAAGGGCTCAAGGAACAGAGAGCGACTCACTCCACAACCGCCGACCCCTCCTCGTCCGACTGCGTCATCTCGTCCTCGGACTGGTCGCTGAGCAGGTCGCAGGGCAGCAGGGACGAGGTGTCTGCCAGCTCGAGGACGGGGGCGATGCTGGGCCGGCGGTTCCCGGAGCCGTTCTCGGCCGGCAGAGCCAGTTTGCTGCTGTTGGCAGGGCGACATTCTGTGTTCTGCAGGTCCATGGCCACTGTACCTGGACACGGCGGGGAGGGGGGCACGGCAAACACGCTCTAAGGAGGTGCAGAGAGCTGAGGGAGCACCCTGGAGCCCTGCACAGGGGTGAGGTACAGCCCAGGGGACGCTCAGCCATCCTCACGGGAATGGGGAGTGCGGGGGAAGCCTCCACCAGTGACCTCCAGCTGGGTACTGGTGTGTGGGGCATTTCCCTGGGGCACAGCTGAGCCAGCTCAGGGACTGTCCCTGTCTCCTGCCAGACACCACTGCCCTGCTGGCGCTCCCATCACTTCTGTCCCTTCCTTCCCCCTTCGCCAAAGGCCCCCCTGTGAAGGAGCTGTGTGACGGGAGCAGCGACAAAGTGATCAGCAGAGCTCTCTGCGCCTTGCTGGGGGGATAATCTATGCAAATTGCTGCTCGGGAGTACAAACACATAAATTATTTGCCTGGAAATACAACGCGCTTGTGTGGCGCAGCCTCCCCAGAACCCGCTCTCCCCAGATACGAGCGGGAAGTAATGACTCATGGCATTTCTCATCTGCACAAACGCACCGCTCGCTGCAGAGCAAACGACGCTCCCCTCGGGTTGGGAGCCGTAAATGTGATTCAGGATTGTGGCCAGCGGCGCTTCTTCCTCCAGCCCGGGAAATAATTGGGGGCTAAATCCAGGCTTGGGGGGGGGGGCTTATGCAAACACCCTTAATGATAATGGACATCATGAGGTTTAATAGTGGTATTCGAGCTTGCTGAGGGGCACCCAGGGTGGCAGGAGATGTGTGAGTTGTACTGGTGAGGTTACAGGGGCTGCAAAGGGATTATCAGTGCCCTCGGCACTGGCGGGGGACAGGGCAAGGAGTGTGCAAGAAACAAAACCAAACCTGGGAAAGGAAACAAACCCAAACTTGAGGAGGGCAAGGGTGGGGTGTGTGCAGGCTCCTGCTCCCCCCGAGGGAGCCCTGCTGCCCCCCCTGCCCACGAGCCCCCCGACTCACCCATGCTGGCGATGATGCTGTGCACGGGCAGGCGGGACGGGCCGTCGTAGCTGCCCCTCCCCGCAAAGCCCTTCTTCTTCTGCTTCTCCTCCTGCTTGAAGATGAAGGCAGAGTTCTCCTCCTTGGTGATGTTGATGTAGAAGCAGGTGTCGGACGCTGCCATGATGTGCCGGGGGCCGGGGTTCAGCAGGATGCTCTTGTTCTCCTCCCTCCGGATGCCGATCAGGCACACGCCGTATCTGCGGCGGGAGCGCGAGGTGGGAGTTCACAGCTGGAGGGAAACCCCCCTGCGGGGCTTTGTCCCTGCACAGGGGACCTGGCAGTGCCCTCCTGCCCCGCCCAGGGGTGCAGACCGGCAGGTATCTCCCGCCCAGCCCTGCCCCTTTTCCCTCCCCTTGCCCTCACTTCTTGTGCGCGTGGAAGGCGGCGTAGGTGAAGCTCTTGCCCTCGTACTCCATGAAGAACTTGCTGTCCCCCATGCGGATGTGATAGACCTCATTGCCCGAGCAGCGCCCGTACATCCGCTGCCACTGCTCCGGGGACTCCTGGCCCTCCCTGCAACGACAGCAGCAGCAGCAGCGTTGGGATGGGCCCCTTGGAGCTGGGATGGGGCCACATCCCGGGGCAGAGCCACAGGGCAGGAGCACTGATTAATCTCTGGAGCTGCCACCAAGCCCAAGAGTGGGGAGATGACAGCAACGCATCACCACGAGCTGAGGACAAGCTCGTTTCCACCTCGGCTTTTTAAGTGCCTTTTTATTTAACGAGGGCCCCTGCGGAGCGCAGAGGGAGGGTTCAGAGCCCGTGCTGGCAAACAGCTCCGAGCATGGGGTGAGAGTCATCTGGCAAGGATGTTTCATAACTGCTTTGATGGCACTTTACCCAAAATTCAGGCATTTCTGACTGGCCAAGGAGCGCAGGACACGCACACCGCTGCTCCACAGGGCTGGCAGAGCTCCCTCCAGCCACGCTGGAAACACACCCACCAAAAAGCCTGCAGGGTCTGGGTCTGCTCAGGCTGTGAATTCACCTTCCTGCCACTGGGACTGTGCCAGCATAAAGATATTTTTATTCCCAGTCTCTGGAACGGTGGCACTTCCTGGTTCATCTGCACTGAGATGGCTCCCCTGCAATATGGCTTTAGCTCCTGACCTGGATTGAGGTCCTAAATCCCACTGTGCTACCCCAAACACATCCCAGAGCCACAGCATGTCCCCCTGGGCTCAGAGACCTCGGTGCTGCCGTCCCTCCATGCTCAGGCAGGGGCAGGGGAGGGCAGGGGTGGGGAGGGCAGGGGCAGCACTCACTGGCCACGGGAGGTGTGCACCAGCAGCGTGATGAGGGTGGAGGTGGCAGGGCAGACGCAGTTCAGTGCCAGCATGGCGTACTTGCACTCCTCTTCACAGACAACGTGATCTGAAAGGCAGAGGGGACAGTCACAGCAGGGAGGGGGACGGATGGTTTCCCTGGCTGGCAGTGCCTGGGGATGTGGTCAGTTTGGGGTGGTGTTGGGGACTGGGTGTTTCCTCCTCCTGCCAATCCAGGAGGGCTATAATCACCAGCTGGGGCACAGCCCCTCCAACTCACCTGCAAACTTGACGTGGAATTTGTTTTCTGGCTTTAAGATCTGAACGTAGAGGGGACAGTTCGGAGCAAAGTCTTTGACAGCCCAGGCCCTCAGGATGGTCTGGTGGTCCTGGCCAAGCAGAAGAGCAACAAGAGCTACTTGGCTGGAGGTTTATTTTCCCTGATCCTTCTACACCTGATGAACTGCAAAACACCCACCACCCTGCAGATGTACAGCAAGGGCTCCTCCAGCACCCGCTGCCAACAGGGGATAACTGTACCCCAAAAACCAGCACTGATGGGAAACCAAGACAGCAGAAGGAGGTGAGCCCACAGGGGGTCAGCCACCAGTGTACTGCTGCATGTCCCTGTGCCATCCCCGAGGCTCTCCATGGCACTCAACCCCACCCTCTTGTCCCAGTTGCCTCCCAGCACCCTCCTGTGCTGGGCAGAGGTGAGATGAACCCATCACCCCACTGCCTGGGACATGAACTGTCTCAGACTGTGCCACCCCCTGTCCGGGCTCACCGCCGCAGTCCGGTCCACCTCGTTGCGGCTGCTGAGGATGAAACAGGCCTCTCCATTGTCCATCCTGCAGAGAGAGAGCAGGGACCTCATCAACTGCACGGGCCCACAAAGCTGGGCACTGCCTGCACCAGCCAGGGCACTGCCAGCCCCCAGAGAAGGGACACCCAGGTCACACATCTGGGGAGCCTCCTCTGGGGTTCTGGGACCCGCGGGCGGGCTCGACCGCGCGGCAGGACCGGCCCTGCCGGGGATGTGCAGGGTGTCCCTCTGCTCACTTGGCTCTCATGAGGTCCTGGTCCTTCAGTGCAGAGCCCTGGAGGTAGATCACCCGCTGCGACCACAGAGGGATCTGCAGGACCCGCCGCACCTGGATGTCCATCTCTGTTGGGCAGAGGATCACCACGTAGTAATCCTGCAAGAGAGAGCCCGGCGTGGGTGGGTGGTCCCCCAGCCCAGAGAGCCTGCGAGCCCAGCACCGTGGGGCGACACGCCCGGCCCTCACCTGCAGGCGTGGGTGGGCGTAGAACTCGTTGAGGAAGTCCATGAGGAGATCAATCTTGAGGGAGCTGACGCAGAGCACGACGTGTTTCTCCGTCTGCGCCCGGTGCCGGCTGTAGTTGCCGCCCGACTTCTGCCGCTCCATCCACAGGTAGACGAGCTCCTCGAACTGCAAAGGGAGGCAGAGGGCTGATGTTTCCATCGGCAGGGCTGCCCCGGGGCAGGCTCTGCGTGCCTGTCCGTCCCCAGCCGGGCAGGCCTAACCTGGAGCGGCAGCACGACCAGGGCGACGCAGATCATGATGACGACGAGCAGCTGCGAAGGCCAGATCTTTGGGGTCACGTCTCCGTAGCCCACGGTGGAAAAGGTGACGATGCAGAAATAGAAGGACTTGAAGAGGGAGAGCTTCTCACCTGCTCTTTCTAAATGCTGGATGCCACAGGTCCTGGAGGGAGAGAGCCCCATCACAGCCCAGGAGACAGGGCAGCATAACCCCACAGACCTGCAGCTCAGAGTCATCCTGCTGAGCACAAGTGTCACCTCAGTCTTCCTGGACCAGAACTGTAGCCTCACCCAGAAACACATCCGGGGCCCCAGCAGCAGGAGATGCCACGGGCCAGGAGCACTGCTGAGCTTCAAAATGGCATTAGTCACCCCCATCAGAGCACCATCTTTATTGCCAAAACCTCATGAGCCTGAAAGCTTCATTTCCTCTCCGTTCAGCAACTTAATGGGGTAATACACCTCAAATGCAAGTGAAGGGAGCCAGAGGAAGATTCAAAGCCTAATTTAGAGCTAAGTAGCCAGTGATGAGCATTGCACCCCCCACCCCAAAGGAATGGTCTTGTTGTTGGAAACACAGGGTAAAAGGCCCAGTTAATTAACAGGAGCCCCAGTGGCCTATTACACAAATCTGTGGGGGAGGAAGAGCGTGGTCAGAGCCAGCGGGTGCGATGGGTTCTGGTGAATGAGCCGTCACACACCAGAGCTCATGTCCCTGTGGGAAGCTGCTGTCCCTGCTCTGAAACTCCTACCACCCAGCTCCCTCTGAGAACACCCTCAGGCTCTCACAAGCCTGCTGAAAAGTTTCTGTTTGGATCATTAGTTTGGTTCAGGATCTCCCTCCCGGTGTTCAGCGTGCTGGGAACGAAGCGAGGCAGGGAGGTGTCGGCCCTGCAGGAGCCCAGCTCTGCCATCAGCCCAGGACGGGCACAGCTGCTTTCCCTGGACCAGGAGGGGGACGTAGTGAAAGGAAGAGCAACACTCACCCCGTGAAAACGAGACACAGGAGGGTGCAGATGAGAATGAGCACCTGGTTAAACATCGCGGACTGCGTCCTTTGGATGGCTCGGTGTAGGTCGTTCTGGGGAGAGAGGAGAGGGTTCACACTGGCTCAGAGAGGCTGGGGGCACAACCTCCTTCCTCCAAGTGCCAGCTGTCCTCTTGCTGGCTCCAGCAGTGCCCCCCCAGGTGAAGGTCAGGCCAGTATTTGCCCCCTGGAGAGGGATGTACATTCCCGGGAGCAGGTCTGGGATCTGCTGCCGGGAGAGACAGCTCGAGTGGGCACGTGGGAATGGCTGAAAAACCTCCTCCCTGGCCATCCCTGTCAACGTGCAGCTCCTGCTGCTCCTCCACAGCAGGGCACAGCCTGGTATTCCTAGCTGGCAAAGCCTCACCTCCCATCGACACAGCTGCACACACTGAGCACTGAAACTTCCCCAGAGCCAGGGGCAGCCAAGGGCTCCCCTTCCAACCCCACTGCCCTCCCCATCCCCGAGGAGCTGGACAAAAGGGGCCACTCACAATCATGTTCTCCAGGGCGTACTTGGCCAGCCAGCAGTTCAGGAACACGGGAATGAACAAATTCCGCAGAGGAGGCCAGAATATCTACAAAATCAAGAGTTATTGGCAGAAAAATCCATGCTCTTTAAAAAAATAAAGCTATAAACAGCCAATTCAAGCCCTTTCTGGAAGGATCCATCTCCAAGCTGAGCAGAGGCTGCTGCCAAACACGGCCCTGCTCTCCCGGCTGCATCGCAGCAGCTGAGAAGGGAAAATGGATTTGGGGATAAGGCTCCAGAGAAAGTCATTATATTGTAAAATACCGAAGGAAAAACATCCTGCCAGCTTTAAATACTACTTGGCCAGACATCCATTTGTCTTTATTTCACCTCCAAAGCTACACTTAGAGCTGCTCTTAAATGCCAGCGGGAAACACTCACCGTGATAATGAACGGCACCGTGTTGATCATCTCAAGGACGAAGGAAATGCGAAAAATCTGCTCCCAGATGTTCCCCTGAGGAATTAAAACCAAAGGAGAATTTCAGAAGCTTCAAACTTTCCCAAAGGACAATTGAGACGCTCCCTCTCTGCCACAGACCCTGCTGGAGGAGGGAAAGAGGCTTCAGGAAGCAGGAAGATGCTCTGGTTTGCCTGCCAGGGGAGATGCAGTGGTGGTGGCAGGTACAACGAGGTCAGGAAACATTCCCAAACCCTCCAGTCCTCTCTGCAGCCACCACATCCCTCTGCCTGTCACTGCTGCTGGGGGACAACGATGCTTCATGCAAGGAGGGAGAATGAGAGTGACTGTTACGAGTCGCTGGCACTCGAACAGGGGGGTGACGCAGGGTCTGAGTCTCTTCTGCCAGCTCTCCCCGGGTCCCTGAGAAGATGCCATTTGTTAAGGTCACTGTTTTTTGGCCATTTTAAGGGGCTTTGATCCAAAGGAGTCAGCTTGTTCCTCTCCCTGCCTGGCTTGGAGCCCACGGAGGCAGCAGAGCTCGGCACAGGCAGGAGCCAACGCTGCCCAGCTCAGCTCCAGCTCCTCAGCCCGAGCAATCTCGGTGTGTGTCAGCCTGTCCTCCCTTGAAAACACGTGTAAAACAGGTCTGAATTTAAGGGAAAGCAGAAAAGGCAGATATTCTGCTCTGCACAACTCTTATCCAGGAGCCCGAGGGGGAATGAGAAAGGAAAACAGCCGGAGCCAGCTGAGACATCGTCGAGACAAACATCCTCCTGGGACACTCCAGCTTCAGGCAGCTCAAAACAAGAGAAATGAGTTCATGCCAGGGGGGCAGAGCCAGGCCGTGCATCACCACCCCCTGCCTCCCTGGGCACTCACCTTGTAGCTGAGATAGATGAGCAGCATGGTCTCCAGAAAGCTGATGAGAGCGATGCTGACCTGCAGGGACACAGGGAAAGGCTCTGGGGGCTCCCTCGGGGCTCTACCAGAACTCCCAGAGCCCCCCTGGCTATCACAGCTGGGGCAGAGCTCCAAGCTCCTCTGTGCTGGGTGCTCACCTGCACAGCCCACAGAGGTGTTTTTCTGTCCACCCAGAAGATGTGTGACCTGCAGAGGGAATCCCAGAGGGGTCTGAGCTGCAGCCCAGCTATCAGCATCGTTACCCCCCACTGAACACAAAACCAAGGGCACTGGTGCAGGACCAGCACAGGTACTGGTATTCCCTACTGGTTCAAGCAGCCCCTGCACTGGGAACAAGCCATTCCACAGACATTTGATCCTGGGATGCTGCTCCACGTCCCTTGAGCAGCCCCACGACCAAAAACTGGCCATGGGCAGCTGCCAGCACCAGCCACCCCCATCCCTGCATTCCCACACCCTGGCAGGGTCAGACCCCAGCACTGCAGCAGCTCTGACTCACCAGTTTATGTTCGTGGACTGGTTAAACGCTGTGTAATTCTGCTTCTCACATTCCCAGCTAGGAGAGAAAGAGCAAGGAAAAGCAGTCAGGGAGAGGGAAGAGGAACAGGGATGCTGGGATTGACCCCCCAGTGCCCTCCTCGCTGGGTGCTGATGCTGGGGGAGGCACCAGGACAACACTTCCATGGATCCAAACCCACTGATTCCTCCAGCCAGGGCTTTCCACAGGAGTCTGTCTCACCCAGCAGACTGGGGGAGAACAAAACCCCTCAGGTGCTTCAGCCCCTATCAGAAATGCTGCAGAACATCGACACTCCTGAGGTACAGAGCTCCCTGGCACAGCGTGGAACACAGGGAACTGGGAATTACCAGGTTACAATCAGCAAAAGCTGCTGATTCTCAGCTTCTGGGATGAGGCAGAGCCATCCTGCCAGGCAGCAGCAGCGAGCCAAGCTCTCCTCTCTCTGCCTTGCTGTGAGGGATGTGTTCCCACTGGGTAGCCTTTATCCTGCCACACACCCTCAGGAAGGTGGAATTCCCTGAGCTGCAGCTGCACTGAACCTGTCAGGGGTGTCCTGCTTCCCTCTCACAGGTCTGAAAGCGCTTTTGGGACGTGCAGGTGCTCTTGGCAGCCTGCAGCCTTTACAAGGAGGAAAATCAAACTGCCAATTCTCCAAGCTCTTGGGAAAAAAAGGAAAAAAAGAAAAAGGCACAATGGTTTGTGAGCTAAACAAAGCAAGGACATATTAAAAATAGGCTTATATTGAAACCCAGAGCAAAGCTGATGTATGGAATCATCTGCCACCTCAAGGATCTAAACAGCCCAACGTATTTCCCTCCCAAATGCTTACATGGGATTTAATGGAAATTTATTCAAGGGCATCAGTGTCCAGAAATTGTTTGCACGGTGATGCACTCGAGTCATGAGCTCTTGCCTGTGTCTGAAGGCCACGCTGCCCCCCTGACCAAGCCAGACAGCCCTTGGAATGAACGTGCCCTGAATTCTTCCCCCGTCCTCTCCCCGTGCTCCGGGCAGGGCCAGTGAGTGCCCACTCACCCACCCACCCACGGGATCTGAGCAGGGAGCAAAGCCCTCCAGCCTGGGCAGACCTGCTGAACCACCAACTCCAACAGCTGGAGTGAGAAAAAACCATCTCCACAGCGGCTGTGAGCAGCTGCCACTGCCCAGGGGCGCTCACCAGCCTGTGCCCACTGCCCAGGGGCACTCACCAGCCTGTGCCCACTGCCCAGGGGCACTCACCAGCCTATGCCCTCCTCGGGGTTGTCGAGCAGGACACGCACGATGTACAGGAGGCACGTGAGCAGCTTCAGGGAGAAGTTGAAGAGCCGGATCCTCAGGCCTGGGGCGGAAGGGGAGCATGGAATGAGGCAGGCAGCATTCCTGTCCCCCACATCAGCACCCTTTTAGCTTCCCACAAGCTTGGCACCCCCCCACCCCGAGCCCCAGGGCAGCACAGGAGAGTTGTTCAGCCTTGCCAAGGGCTCCACGTGTCCTCCCCGGGGTCAGAAATGCAGAAGCCTGGTCCAGGAATAAATACTGATGAGTCAGCTCCTTGCTGACCCCGATAGATGTGAGAGATGAATGAGGAGCTGCTGGAGTGTGTCCCCCTCATTAGCAGGCATCCAGACCAGTGCTCACCACAGTGCAAGCACCTTGCAGGAACAGGGACAGCAAGCAAAAAAACTGCTGCTTTCCCCGCTCCCCCTCCCCAGCCAGTTCACTGGGTCGTTACTCAAAATTAAAAGTGAGAAATTCATCACATTTTCATTAAAAACTTCCCCCTGGGCACCCCGTTGTGCTGTGCTCCAGCTTTTTTCAACGAGACAACAGGACGCAGGGAGCAAAAAAAAAAAAAAAAGAAAATGTGAATTTCTGAATTAACGAGCAAAGGCTCCCTCCAGACAGCTAATGAGATCTCAGAGAAAGAAAATAAAAACACCATTAGTCAAGTGGAGGCTAATCCGGGGGGCTGGAGCAGGAGTGGGGAGCTCACAGCCTGCCCTGGCTGTCCCTGGGAAGCACAGCCTGCCCTGTGATGGGGACACTCGCTCCCTGATGGGGACATTTGCTCTCTGTCAGGCAGCTCCTGACACCCACTCCCTGCTCCCAGCCAGTTTGTCCAGCTGGTTCCCGAGCTGTGGCTGTTCCCAAGGAGCAAAAGTGGCAGGAGAAATCCCATCCTCCCCCTGCAACCACGTCTCCCAACCCAAGCTGGCCAACACTCAACAGAAAGGCCAGGAGGCAGCAGCAGCCCCGGGCTGGGGACACTCGGGGACGTGGCCACCAGCAGATGGCAATGGCTTCTCATCCCACAGGGCAGAGCGTGGCTCTCCTGGCTCGGGCAGGGTTTGGTTTCCCCCAGAACACAGCACACTCCATGCCCAGAGCACTCACTGGATCGCTGGTTTTTGATGAAGAAGAGCTTCAGCCGCTCCTTGAAGGTGTTTTCATTCACGTAGAACTCGACCTGCACCCTGCGGGGAGAGCGCCCGGAGGAGCCCGTCAGTGGGGTGGGCATGGCACAACAGCAGCCCCCAGGAGCCCTGTCCCCCCATCCCAGCTGGGGGACCACCTTTACAGCCCACACACAACCCTGGACCCGGTCCCAGGCTCCCAGCTGCTCCCACAGTACCACCAGTACCACCAGGACACGATCCATCACTGCCTATCCAAGCAGAAGGTGCGACCCACAGGGCCAGGCCTGCTTGGGGCTGAGGGCTCTCCTTTCATTCCCACACAATCAGACCTATAAACTTCTCCTTCCACACACACTTTACAGTGTCCAAAACTTGTCAGAAAAGCAGTGGCCTTGGAGCAGCCTCCCCCAGCGATGTTTTTATCAGCTCCAACCCCCCCAGCTGCAGCAGAGCAGGAGCTGGCAAGGGCAAAGTCCCCAGTATTGCCCTGGGTTCTGCCTGGGTTAGGAAAAACATTCAGCACCAAAGCTGTTAAAAATCAATTCAGCTCTAAAAGGAGAAAATTTCCCTTTGTTGCTAAGATACCACATTTGGTCATTCCAGAAAAACCCAGGAGCTGACAACCAACTCCAAACATCACTTGGCATCTGGAGCCACTGGTGACTTGTGGCACAGGGGCAAGAGTCACCTGCCAAGGCACTTCACAGAAACCAGCAGGGAGGAGCCACAGGTGAATCCAGAAATGTCCAATCCGCCACTGTGACCACCACAGGAATTTCTTCACTGGCTTCTCCTGCCTCCACCCCTGACCCCCATCCACAGCCCTCCCACCAGCATTCTGAGTGGGAAAAAACCTCACCAAGGCTGGAGGTTCCTCCCCATGGATGTCAGCAGGGGCTGGGATCAAATCCACCTGGATGAAGGGTGTGTGGGCAAAACCAGCCCCAGCTCAGCTCATCTGTTGTCACCTCCCCTGGTACTTTATAAACACCTGCGGCCCTTTGCAAACCCACTGGTGACCCCAGGCAGGTTATAAATCCCACTGCTCCTGCCAAGAGCCAGCAAAACGGGATCAGTTCCTCCTGCTCAGCCTTACACTGAGCAAGACAAAGTCTGCTCATTATCAGTCCAGCCCATAATGGAGTTAAGTGCCAGGAATTAGCCACTTCCCCCAATCACTGCATTCAACAAGTCCCTTAAGTGAGTGCTGCTGTTACCACTCATTTTTTAACTCTGGGGAAGAGCTCATCAAAACCTCATCAATCAGGTCTTATCTGCCAGGCAAGGCAGAGCTCAGGGTGAGCAGTCATTAAACTGCCCAGCCCAGGTAATTCTGTCGGGGCACACGTGGTGCCCGCTCCGGTCGAGCGTTTCCCTGGCACAGCCACCCGCTCAGGATTTATTGGGAAGCAGCTGCTCCTCGCTCTGACACGGGGAGGGGACAAACAAATATCCACTGAGCAGATTGGGAGGGGGGGTTTGTCAGACCCCTCGTCCTGCACCCCACATCAGGCAGCCCAAAGGCAGGAGGGTGGTCAAGAGGGCTTTTCCACCAAACCTGGTACTTGATCACCGGGAGAAGGGAACAAGGAGGCAGGTGGGCAAGGACAGACCCCAGAGCAGGAGAATTTACAGCCCCTGGCTCACCAGCACGCTGCCTCAGGAGCAAGCAGCATTAACACAGAACCGGCTTTAACACATGTCAAAACTAATCGTTTCCAAAGCCAGACCTGGCAAATAATTTTTCAGCGCCAGGGCCATAAATCAGCTGCCATGACTGCTCACAACGCTGCACGCAAGCTGATTGCTCCTTCTCCATATTTAAAATGCCCAGGAAATGCTGGGAACTGGCTTTCAGCTCGGACAAGAGAGCTGAGCACCCCATTCATCAGAGTCTCTGAGGATTAAGAGCCTTGAGGAGACGGAGACTTGAGGGAGCACGATTCCTCTCCCAGACATTCGTCTCTGTATCAAACAAACAAACAGCAGTATCAATCTCTGTCTCCAGCCAGATGGTTCACTGATCTATAAGCTCTGCAGCCCACCTCGAGATGATGGATATAATTGCTGGTGGATAAAAGAACTAAATGATTAGATCTAACTTTTCATGACAAAGTAGCCCGTGTATTCATCCATCCTGACGGCGGCTGCAGGAGGAAGAACACGGGGAAAAGCAAGTGAAGTAGGTCTCAGGAAAGGGGGGAAGGGGGTGTTTATCACTGAAAAAGAATAAAGGAATAAAAGAACACGTTCCTGTACAGATAATCTGTCCTCCCTGTGAGCTGGGCTGAGCCCCTGGAGCTATAAGGGGGTCCCACTGCAGTACTGGCAGCCAACACCCCACTGGCCCCCAGGGCAGAGTGAGGGATGGCCTTTACCAGGCAGCTGCACCATCCAAGAATATCAAAGCTCCTACTCCCTTCCCAGCTGGGGGAAGGAGATGATATCATGTAAAACATACCCTTTAATTTCATTGTCAAGAACTAACGTGAAAGGAAAATCAAGCGAAACTCTGACTGCGTTGCCACCCCCAAAACACACCCCGAGGGCTCTGCCTTCCCTGCAGCTCAGGCAGGATGGTCCCTTCAGACTGCCCCCTTCCTGCTGCCAGGGCTGGGCAACCCTCCCTCTGAGAGCATCCATCCCACTGCCTGAACATCCATCCATCCATCCACCCATCCATCCATCCATCCATCCATCCATCCATCCATCCATCCATCCATCCATCCATCCCACTGCCTGAACATCCATCCATCCATCCATCCATCCATCCATCCCACTGCCTGAACATCCTTCCCACTGCCCCAGCATCCCTCCTGCCAGTCAAACATCCTTCCCACTGGGAGCATCCCTCCCCCTGGCCAGGCAGGGTGGTGCCAGCCCAGCCCTCCCAGGCTCACTAGCAGCGATCCACTGTGCAGGCAGAGAGAAGGCAGCAACAGCACACCTCTGCCCTCACCTCTCCCCAGCCTGAACCCCCCCAGGGCCCTGCAGATAACGATCCTGGCATGAGTTTAAAAAAAAAACAACCCTGTGCTTGGAAGTGTAATTACTGCTATTATGCACTTCATAATGCCTGAGCGAGTTCATTCTCCTCGCTCCGTTATTTATTGTACTTTATTAATCTAAGATTAGAGGCAATTTGTTGTAAGATGATGAGTTCCCCAAAAGAAAAGACACAAAAGTAGTTTGTTGGGAAAAGTGCAGGGTGAAAAACCAGGAGGAGCACATCTCACCACCCTACTGATGTTAAAACACACATCCAGGAGCACAGCCCTGGCTCTGCACCCCCACCCTCCCCAGGGAGCTGGGGACAAACACAGTTCTCTTTAAAAAAAGAGAGAAATACAAAAAAACCACCGACCCAGCTGCAGCCCCCCATGGGGGCAGTGCAGGCAGGGACAGGGGTGGCTGGAGATGTCCCCCCCAACCCCTGCATTCCCAGGACACTCACATGGGCAGTCGGGCACAGGCAGCTCCCTCCGATCCCCACGGCATGTCACAACTGCTGGGCTTGGCCTGAAAGCTGAGACATCCCTCCCTCCCACTCCAAAATCCAAGCTCCAAAATCCACCAGCCAGCCAAGGGAAGGAGCTGCCAGCTCTGCCCTGGGACCTGCCCCAAGCCACGCTGCTCCTTTCTGAAGGACTTGGGTGCCCAAGGTTGTTTTTGCTGTTGTTTTGTAAGACACCTCCTGCCAGGAGAAATGTGCCTTCAAATAAATATTCCCCTTGACAGGAAAGAAAAAAAAAAATCTTAGTTTTTAGCTCCTTGCCCTCACACTTCAGCTGGGTGGGGAATGCTGTTTTCAACAGAATCCTAGAATGGTTTGAGTTGGAAGGGACCTTAAAGCCCAGCCCATCCCAACCACCTGCCATGGGCAGGGACACCTTCCACTAGACTAGGTTGCTCCAAACCTCATCCTTTCTCAAGAAATTTCTCAAGAAATTTCCCCTGTCCCGTAGCAGGATGCAAATGAAATTGTTTAGAGATTTCTCAGGGGAAAAAAAAAAAAAAAAAAAAAAAAAAAAAAAAGAACAAACAAACTAACCAGGAAAATCCTAGAAATCTCTGCAATACTCTGCCAAGGCAGTGCAGTCCCAAGTGAGACCCCACAGCCCACAGGACAGCTCTGCATCCTCTGTGCAAATCCACCTGGATCAAATCCATCAGGAATGCTGCTGTGGCCAAGGCTGGATTTAGGGAATTCTGCTGCTGGTCCAGAGGGGCTCCCCGGGGACGGGCTGTGGGTGCCAGCACAGCTCTGGGCACAGGCAGGTGAGGAGCAGGGCTGCAGCATGTCCTGTGCCAGCATGCTGTGGCACAGGGAGCACAGAGGACACTGTGCCAAGGGCACGGGGATGCTGTGAGGGCACCGTGCCATGGCCAGGCTGCCTCCGCTCCCGCTCAGCCTCCGGAGCAGCCGGTGCCAGCCGGGCACCAGGGGAACCTGAGCTGCTTCCCAAAGCCTTCCCAAACCACCAAACCAGCCAGCCTGAGGCTCAGGTACCCACTGATGGCAACCACACTGACTACCCAGGCACACCTCCCGCACCTCCAGCCCTCCTGATTGCCCTGGGGATGCTCTTTCCTTTTTTCCCACTGTTTTCTTGCTGGTAGCAGATGTTTGGGTACAGAAGGGAGTCAGATGCCACACTGAGCTTCGTGACTCCCTCTGTGATCTGGGTTTGCCATCCAGGGCAAGCAGAGGATGAGGGGGGGGTGCAGCTCCAGCCCTTCCCACCCGAGCTCCCGGCTCGGCAGCGCGAGGAGCCGCTCCCGGTGCAGGGTTTGGAGCTGGAAAAGTGGGAATAGCTGTACAGGCTGCGTGCACACACAGACAACCTGGCTGCCTGCCAAGGGGAGAGACAGGGAACAAGCTGCCCCCACGCTCCATAAGCAGTAATTGAACAATTACTCAAAGGAGGGAGGTTGTGGTTTCGGCAGGGCTGAACCAGCGAGCGAGCAGAGAACGGCTCCGAGCCCCCCACCCCGGGGGTCCCTCATCGGCCAGGGGGGGGTGTGGGTTCACCCCTCCTGTGGAGCAGCCAGGTAGG